TTATAACCCAGAAAATGTTAACTAGTAGTGTTGAAGAGTAAGTTATTTGCTGGAGTTCTGTCTCTATGCGTTATGTAGCCTTTACAGGCAGTTGTGCCAGACCACTGGTGTGGTGTTGGACCAGCTTGTCACTGAAAGTCTGTAGGTCTGGATTTACCTATTCACTTGGGAGGCTCAGCACTCTTAAAAATGATATTGGAGGAGAGGACAATCATACGGCTTAGTTTTTAAGTAACCTTTGTTGTGTCTTTCAAAGCCTACTGAAATAAGTATTTATGGTCTGTAGTCAGATTTGGAAACATCAGCCTATAATTTTACATCAAACACAACAATACAAAACCTATAAAATTTAGTGGAATATGATGGGGGTATCAATTTCTAAAAACCGCATTCAGGACTCTGCAACAAGTACGTAGTACCTTCTGAACATCCAAATGTGATAATCACGTGTATTTGTTCTGGTTATTTCTGATAGTAGGCGGTTTTGTGTTGGGCTTTGTTTGTTTTTCTCCCTGTTCCAGGCTTTGATTTTTTCTGGAATTGGACAAAGGCATGATCTGGCTATAACTGTTTTGCTCTTGATGTCTGGCATGTTTTGTGAGCTTGACAAAGTCTGTGAAGCTATTCCAGAACATTACCTGGTTTAAAACTTTGTGTAAATTCATCACTAAACAGCGATAAGGCCACAAGTGCATTTTAGGCCGCCAACCAATTGAGTGTGTTTGTGTGCACACAATGCTTTATTCCTAATATTCCTCCTGCTCTAATGTTTGATAATTGGAATACCTTCAATCTGATCATACAGGCCTTCAAGGCTGAGGAAATTAAATCCATCAAAGATTGAACATAAAATAAGCAGAAGTGAGGGAGCAGCCCTCTGTCTTGGGATATCCCAGGGTAGAAGTAAACAGAGTGTAATCACATGGAAAACTAATTTTCTTCTTGCCAGGAATATGCAGTGCTCAGCTCTGGTCCGGGAAATCATGAGATTTCCATTGAAAGCCTTTGAAAAAAGGCTTTGAAAAATTTTCGGCCACTGAAAGAAAGTCTTGTCACAGGTTAGTAGAGTTTTGGATGGGGGATTTCCACATTCTGAGAGAGGAAGGAAGTTGCTACCAGCTGTTGTTTGCTGGTTTGGTGTGTTCTGTTTCTTTGGTTTTTTTTTTATGCAAATGCTGGAATTTAGTCAGAACTTGGAGTATTAACAGTGATGCCATATTGACTTAGTAATCAGGGCTAGTGTAATAAATTCTGTAGCCGAATGTGTTTTACAGGGTGCTAAGTATTCATTAGACTTCCAAGATTAGTTGGGAATTGACAGTTTGTTGATAGGAGGCATGAGATGATGATGGTAATTAATGAGGTGAAGGTAGGTGCGGGTTACAGTGGAGTAGGTAGTCAAGACTAGTAAGCGACACTCTTCTTGTATGCATGTCTGATATTCATAACGACATCTGAAGACTTCAGCTGTTTGTTTTGAGGTTGTTTATGTAGAATTCAAGTTGGGATTGATAGCATGCAAAAGAAAAGTAGCAGCTGCATGTGCTGCTTAGAGGAAGATCTGTAGGGAAGGCCATTAAATGAGAGGAAGCAGTAGAAGCATGTTAACATGACGACAGAGAACGGCAAAACACAAAGTTATTTCAAGAAGACTATAAGCGTTCTTCATTGAAGAGAAATATTGGGAGAAAGAAAAGGGATTTATTTGAAATGATACTTGGCAGATTATTGAAATCAGTATGTGTTTTTTGAGTGATCCAACAGATTTTTTGAAGGGGGCTCCATCATAATTTTTTTTATAGTAATTCAGGACAATGTTGCCTGATCAACACTAGCACTTTGGCATTCATGAAGAGAGGGATTAAAAGGCATTTATGAAAGACTGTGGTGTAGCACGACCTTAACTGCTGCATCTGGCCTTGCTCTTTGCAGTTTGTAGTTAATATTGTGGAACTGGAGGGGATCCTGCCAAAGGCCTTGCTAATGAGGAGGTGATTTATTTATTCATTTGGCTCCTGAAGAGCAAAATCAGATGTTAGGACTGCTTAGAGTGGCGTAGGGGCCACCAAGATGGTGAGAGGCCGGAGCACGTGCCCTGTGAGGGGACCGGAGGCCGCGGGCCAGGCATGTGGTGGAGAGACGGCCATGAGGGCACCTGGCAGCTGCCACACGGGCTGAGGAGACGGAGCCAGGCTCAAGTCGTGTCTGGTGGGAGGAAGGAGAACCAGCACAGATGAAAAAAGAGACGTTTGGACTAGATAAAAGGAGAGGCCCACTCAGCAGGGCCACGGAGTCAGTGAAATGGGCCTCAGAGTTGACCCTGCCGTGAGCAGGTGGAAGGGCTGCAGGCCTCCAGAGGCCGTTCTGCCAGAGCTGTCCTGTGACTAGGAATTACTCCAAAATATCCCCAGATATAGGTAATCCACAGAATTATCCTGTGACCTATGGGTTCTAACCAAAAAAGGAAATCACTAACTGTGAATACAAGGGTTACCAACAAGAGTTGGTAACAACTTGAGGAGAACTGAAGAACATGAATTGGCTTGTTTTCATTTTAAATACAGCTTAAAAAAATGCAGGATCCTTCTAGTTTCTACTAATCTGAATAGCAGCACAGAGTAAACTTAGTCAAAAATTAAGTCAGCTTTCACTCTGGTTTAGTAAAACATTACCATCTGATAAAAATAACTAAATTAACGTAACTTTCTTACAGCCTTTCTTTCTAAGGGTACATTAATACTGGTTGTGCATAAAGCTGTATCTACCTTTTTTTGTAGTGTTTTATGGCATTAATGATTGAAGTATTCAGTAAAAATGGAAGGTTTGTTTATGCTTTGAAGCCCACGGTGACTGAGCTGCGGTTTTACATAAAGCAATATTTGAAATATAGTATTAACAAGAATCTTATTTGGATAATTATTTTTAACTAGAAATAAAATGATGCCGTGGCTTCGCTAGGTGTCCTGGCTGATTGATGCATGGCAGCCTCCGGCTGGAAAGAGGTTTTCATTGAAAGTGACAGGTGCCACAAGGTTTATTTAGGACAACCTCAACCTTGTCCTGGTTAGTTTGATAATGTTTGCCTTATGTATGTTCAACCACTGCATTTCCTGCGTTAGAGCCTTGTGTTACACCAATATTACTATCTGTGCTGCCTCAACTACAAATTGGATGAACAGCCAGTGACACTTTTTCAATATTATTACATTAAACCAAGTGGATTTTGATTGATAACCTAATATTCAACTAATGCAAAACATCAATCATGGCAAGTATATTAATTATTTAATATTGCAGTCTAATTCAGAAATCGATGTGCTGCATGAGGGGAAGGGAAACTCACTGTTCCCAGAAGACTTAAGACAGGGAATGATTAAAAAAAACCTGCTGTACTCTTGTGTGTTAGTTCGATACAAATCTTTATTCATTTGCCAATAATCTCTTCGCATTTTCCACTTCAGGACCATTTTTATCAGTTTTGAGACCTATAATTGAATTAAGCCTGCTTTCAGCACAGGGCAGAAAGAGTTGCACCAGTATTGATGAAGTCATGACAGGGACAGCAGAGGAGACAGACCACTAAGCAGGGCAGGTTTTATACCATTGCTTGGGAGCTCCTAACATCAGCTTCTTGGATGCTTCCCAAGTAATTAATTTCTTTAAGGCCATTTAGCACCTCAAAACAGATGTGAAAGACAGTTCCTTTTTAAATATTGTACAGACTGGACTGATATTTTCTTGTTTAAAAATGCTAAATAATGGTGTAAGAAAAGTGCATCTTTTCTGTTGGTTCATCCATGGTTTATTCAAATAGAGCAAAAGCACATAGACTTTTTTGAAAGCTTTGAAAAATAAAAGCTTTTTACGTAAGGAGACTGAAGTACAGCACAGCAAGGTTGGAAAATGTGCCATTGAACATGGACTTACTCTGTATAATAAAACTTAATATGCTTTAGCCCTTTTTTTGTGTGTAACTTCACGTTATGCTTTCCATAACCCATACTATGGGTTCAAGAGAACAGAATTTCAGTCTTGCATGGTTTGCTGTCTCAGAGGTCTAAAGTTGTTTTTAATTCTGTGGTTTGTTAGAGGTTAATAATTTCTTGAAAAAGTAATATTATAAGTATAAAATCTACATTACATTATACAGTTCAATAACTGATTATTTGCAATACTTCTGGGGACAGTTTCTCCTTGTTTGGCATGGTTACAGCCCATCTTCCTCAAAAGATACCGTCACATTTTTGGAAGCAGATAGAAAGCAGAAGCCAGCTTCCTTTGTTTAGTAGCTTGGGACTTGGGGATTTAGGGGATTTATTATTTGTTGTTTTTTTTTTTCCTTGTTTTGTTCTTTTATTTTTGAAGTGGCAGAGAATAGACATCTAACACTTTTCAGGTAACTTTGTCAAACTGGGCAAACTGTTTATGTTGCTCCAGGATGGCAAGCTTGAGCTGTATGCACGTAGCAAGATGCTTTAAGTTGCACTCTGAATTCTGTTTGCTTTTCCTTTTTTTGATAGTTTAGTCATTTTTTTCTCTTATCAGCTATCTTAATGCCACAATACTTCTCATTTTTGAGAAGTACCCACCAATTTTATTACTCTCACAAATTTTATTATTGAAGCAGTGAGAAAGCAGAACCATAACGCCATTGAATGTCGATTTGATAAATACCACTGTACACTGTCTTCTTTTAATAATTTCAATATTTGGTAGTGGGATAATTATATTTTTATTGTTTTTAATTATTTTTTAAATTAGTGTCCTCTTGCTTTGCTGAAGTTTATAGCAATTTTAAGGCAGGTAAAATTTAAGGTTCTAAATAATTCTGTAATTATGCATTTGAATAATCAATACTTCATAAATATTTTAATGATTTAGATATTAAAAATGAAAATTTTACTTGAGAAATTTCATGGCTTTGACATTTCTGAGTTAAACATAAATTGTTGTAGACAAGGGTTTAGCAACTATTTAGAACTTCTGTTCTTCTGTTACAGGGACCCTGGAAACATCAAAGCTGGATTAGAACATCTGGTAAGTTTTAATTTTCTCTTGAACATTTGCATCATCTTTGATATCTGCATTCCAAATGAACACTTTTGAATGAGCTTTGAATACCTTGAATTGAGAAAGTCAACCATTTCCCAGAGGGTCAGCTTACTGTTATAATGTGAAGGCACTTACATTTTCATTTATCTTACCATTTCAAGGGAATTTTAATTTTTTTAAATTACTTTTTTTGATGTAGAGATGAAATAAAATGGACTACAATCCTTGGATTGATGATTGCCTTAATTATAAACAAAAATTGTTTGGTGTAGGATTTTTGGCATATCCTGATCTGAAAACAACAAACTTGTGATAAAAAAAAAAAAGAAAAACGCACACACACAATCAAATATTGCATGCATAAATATGGTATGTTTTAGTAATTTGAAGTCTTTGAAAGAAGTGCACAGCTTTGTTTTTTCTGTTGTCTTTGCTTTATGAATAATGTATTGACTTAAATTCCATTCAGTGCTGCAGTATAAAATAATAATTGAGATGCAAAATATTTTTGGTTTAAGTAAACATATTCAAACCGCAAGTGATGGCAAGACATACTTAGCATTAAAAACTAATCAGTTGATCAAAACTGGAAAAAAAAAACAATATTGTCACAAGTCTGAAGCTCGTTGAGCTTAGACTGTTAGTATCAGCAATCATCTGAACATTAAGTAGTTCATCTAAACAGATTATTAAATCCCATTAAATCAAAATATTCACTATTAATGGCACATATATTTCAATACCTCAGGAGAAGTGTTGAAATTCGTGTTTAATTTTTCATACAATATCTAAATAATACATACTGTTACATATACTGTTCTATACTGCTATTAAAATAAAATCTTATTGCAGTGTATTGCATGAGCATTTGAAAAAAATTGCTTTTCTGTTGTTGCTTCCCATTTTTGGAATCACTTGGGAAATATGATTTGTAGGCGCTTGTATACCAATATCTTGTTGGAGTAACAGCAGGATGAAAACGATGTATATTCGGGCACAGTTGTCAGCAGTTTCCCTTTTATAATGGTGGCATATTAAATGTTCCATTGCAACTAGTATTTTGAATCTGTAAGTGGAATAAATAGCTGAATGTTATGAATAGTTCTAAAAGCAGTCTTAAAATTAATCTTGTTTGCTAGTTTCATAGGTAGCTTGCATGCTAGTTGAATCTCTTAAATAAATTTTTTAAATGTTTCATTCCTCTGCTGGTGTCAGGTTGTTGTAATCTGATGGGTTCAGAGAATTTTTCTAATGCATTATAAAGATGCTGTAGTCTTGACAGATGACCATGACTGGTACTTTTTCTAAATTGGGAGTGCTGCAGTAGCTGAAGCTGCAGGTCTGATTTATAACGTCACCTCGAACCAGCAGGTGCAGAAGGAAGAGGCTCTGTGGTTTTCGAGGAGCATGGGCAGGGGATGGTGGACCAGGAATAGTGTTCACTCACGTTCAGAGCTTCTCTGGGATTTGGGGGGAAATGTACTGGGAAGAAGCTCTGCAGGGTAATGAAACCTGAAGTTCTTTGACATGGTAACTCACTGTATGTTTGAATAATTTCATCTTCATGAAATACATTAGCTGCTTTGTATTTCTGTGAAAGATCTTTCAAAACCTCCAGGTCCTTGAGACTTTTTTTTTCCTTTTCCCTGTGATCTCAGAAGATCTGTCCTGGGAACAGGTGCTCAAGGAAATTAACAGCTTCCCATGACACTCATGGATGGGAGAATTCATACTGGAAACTTTTATATCTCAGTGTTATGTCAGACAAGTTCACAAAGACCTTTTAAGCTCCAGTAAATTATAGGGATATTCCTCAGAAGAGTTAAGCCACACGATTGCTCTTGTTCTTCTGCTTTAAATTACTGCATGTCCAAATACCTGGAAAGAACTGGTTTTCCTCCCATTTCCCCAAAGTTGACAATGAAAAAAGAAGAGTCTTCATGTTGATGGGGTAATCTGCTATTTAATCCTTTATTTAAAATGGGATGTGTGTTGTTGTATGTATGTTTTAAGGACACCTTGCACTCGACTGCAGCCAGTTATGCTGCTTATGTGTGCTTCAGGCAGCTGCCGTTCTGGTACCTAGCATCTCGCTGCACACATGACTGGTTTTCCAAAATTTAGCACGTATTTTACAAATAGTTATTTGGGAATACTCTCAGTGTAAAAACAACTGCGTTCATAAACAACTAGTTTCTTTGTAGGTTGGAGAACTTCACAGCGGGTTCACGTGGATTTTCCTGTGTCGGTGCATAAGGACGGGCAGGGGCCCCAGCCCCCAAATCCCCCCAGCCTGGCCTTGGGAGCTGCAGGTTCAGGGCAGCCCCCGCTCCTCGGCACCCTGGTGGTGAAGGATTCCTTCCAAGCACACCCTCCTGGGAAAAGGGCTGTCCCATGGGGCTGCCTGACCATGCAGGTGGACACAGCTGCTCTCCCTGGTGACTGCCAAGAGCTAAATCTGCTTGGAAGCATTTATTTTTATGCTAGTTAAGAAAAAGAATCCCAAAGTTCTAAATATAGGAGAATTGGTCTTGTATTCCAAAAACTTAAGTTGTTACTTGCTGAATTGTATTTTGCTAATTCATTTTTCCGGTAGCAAATTTTAACAAGCTGTAGAAACCTTGGAGAAAAGGTTAACTGTTTGCAGCTCAGAGCAGGTCCGGTTTTCTATTAGTAGCTCAACTAAAAATGAACGGCGGAGCCATTCGTGCGGTTTCTTCAGCAGAAGGATCTTATTTGTGTCTTTTGTATAAGATTTCAAGGCAATAACCTGCTTGTCCTTGTGGTCAAGCAGCAGAGTCTGTCCATTTGAGATGATGGAGAGCAGCCTGTCATTAATAGCTTGTTTAGCCCATCAGCGGTTTGTGAGAATATAGTTATTGTCTGCCAGCCCTGCAGGCGCTGCGTGGCCGTGCGTTAATCAATAACCACCAGCAGGCGCGGGTGCAGCCCCGGCCAAGCCACGCAGGGTTCTGCCCGTGGAGCTGCTGCAGGTCACCCGTGCCACGACCAGTTGGGTGATGTGACACCAGTTGGGTGATGTATGGGAGGGTCAGGAATTCGTAACCAACACTGGTTAACTCCATCCAGGGGCTTTTCATGCAAATGTTTCTACCAAAGATCTCCTAAAAGACAAACAAACTACAAAAAAACCTTTATCCAGGAGGCGTTAATAACGACTACTAGGTATCACTCTGTATTTCTTTCCTTGGAGCTCAGTTTCAGCAGTTCAGTCTTCACTGATTGCCACCAGCCTAGTTTCAGACCTGCGGTGATGACGGACGAGTATCCCAACATGGCTGGGTAGCGGTGGTTAATAGAATTGTTGGCTTTCTAACGAGCTATAAAACCAAGCAGCCAACTATTAGGGTTCACAAACAATTAATTAACACTCGTAATAAGAGTAATTATGTTTATCTTAGTATCCTGGCAAAATTCCATGCTGCTCAATTATGTTCTGCAAGCCGGAGTTCTCCCTCACTGCAGACGTGTTGGGCTGGCTGGATGCTGGTTGTCCTATTTGAATCCAATTTAATTGAGAAGAAGATTTTTCAATAAACAGTAAAAAATGCATTTCTTTCTCATATGTCCTTTCATAAAGTGGCTAATCACTGAAGTCTGAAGAAAAGTTCTCATTGGAAAACCACCCTGGTTGTTCCTGGGGAGCTGTAATTTTCATGCCCCGTGGATGGATTTTCATGGATCTTTTTTGCATCGAGGCCGTAATGTTACCAGCTGGCGTGGGGTTACAGCATGGCATCTCTGAAGATGCAAGTGTGTAACTGCAAATGAACATTGAGGAACTGAAGGTAGCAATGAAATATTCCAGTAGAATAAACAGTAGATAAGAATAAAATATTTTTTATATACATTGAAAGTATTTAAGTACCTGAAATGTCAATTTAATCTAACATTTGGGGTATCAGTGGTAGTTTTCCTCGTGTTCCATCGATGAAAGTGAGAAATGCAGTCATCAGAGTTCATAAAACGGTTTGTGCACATCATGGAAATCCCTACTCCTGATTAAAAATGCATCTAGTAACCTGAACCAACAAGCCCCTTTAATTTTCATCACTTTTAATTAATGAATTACCTTTTTCTTTTTTTTTTTTTCACGTTAAGGTCAATACTTGTTACTGTCAAAGTATTCTTCCCAGCCTACATCCCCAGATGAGCTCTGCTGACAGCTGAGCCCAGACTGCCCAAATCCCCCCCAGCCCGGCCTTGGGCACTGCCACGTTCGGGGCAGCCCCAGCTCCTCGGGGCAGCCAGCACCAGGCCCTCGGTGTACTTCAATGGCCTGGAGGGTCGCTGGCTTTGTCCCTAGCCCTTCACACGTGTCCCCGACCAGCGCAGCCGTGGGTACCCAGCGAGAGGCTCTGGGAGCTGTTGGGGCGGCAGCTCGGGCTCTGGTGGCCCTCGTTGGAGCAGTAGCCTGTCGGAAATCTTCCTGGTTTCTTCAGAAGGCTCTGGAGCAGGTTCGTATTAGGTAATCACACAGCAGAAGATCAATTGCTTATGAATATCCATGAAAAAATATATTCTGTTTGGCCATATTTGCCCACAGGGATGAAATACGGCTGGGCTAAGGATTCTCTGTAGATCAGAAGGATTTGTGGAGAACCTATTGTCCTGAATATGGATTAAATTAACGTGCGCATACCACTTTTATTTGTTCTAATTTTTTTAATGCTTCTGACTCCAGATATTAATCAAAAAAACTTTGTTTTTTTTCTAGTACTGTGCTACTGTAGACAGAATATGGTAATGTGAGCCTAGTCAAAGGGTTTCAATAGTTTGTTGTTAGAGCAGCTACAAATTTCGTATAAACTTTTTTCAAGAACAAAGTTTTCGCGTGTCACTTTCCATTAGCAGCGTTCTCTTAAACCAGAAGAACACCACATAAAACAGTACAAGTTGCTTTAATGTCTTTGTGTCTTTATTAAAACATAATCTTTGATCATGTCTCATTTAATAATCTAACA